CGCTTTCTCAAAATCACATAAAGTCATATTATAACATCGACTGAGATAAAGAATAAAATGAAATATTAAAAACACGATGTATTTCGCTGCATTGCACGAGTACGCTTCTAGTGAAACAAAATACTATAACGCGTTGGCTTACTTTACGAGTTGACAATTTCATACATAGAGTCCCTTTCATTAAAGAATGATCGGCAGCTTCTAAATTAATACTTGTATTTTAAACCCAAAAATAAGCATTCAATCAAATAAATTAAAAACAGTGTGAATATCTAAAATAATAATAATTTAATATTATTAACTTGAGTAAAAAATCATATTTTAAATTCAAAACACCGACTTTGACTAACTAATTAAAATGTAAAATGAATTAAAAATATAATAAGTACTGCTTATTGATACATATTACTATTTAATTAATTAATCAATCTATATCTATAATATAAAATACTTGACAAAAATTATTAAAAACCGTTTTTATGCATTAAGTACTGCTTATTGATACATATTACTATTTAATTAATTAATCAATCTATATCTATAATATAAAATACTTGACAAAAATTATTAAAAACCGTTTTTATGCATTAAGTACTGCTTATTGATACATATTACTATTTAATTAATTAATCAATCTATATCTATAATATAAAATACTTGACAAAAATTATTAAAAACCGTTTTTATGCATTAAGTACTGCTTATTGATACATATTACTATTTAATTAATTAATCAATCTATATCTATAATATAAAATACTTGACAAAAATTATTAAAAACCGTTTTTATGCATTAAGTACTGCTTATTGATACATATTACTATTTAATTAATTAATCAATCTATATCTATAATATAAAATACTTGACAAAAATTATTAAAAACCGTTTTTATGCATTAAGTACTGCTTATTGATACATATTACTATTTAATTAATTAATCAATCTATATCTATAATATAAAATACTTGACAAAAATTATTAAAAACCGTTTTTATGCATTAAGTACTGCTTATTGATACATATTACTATTTAATTAATTAATCAATCTATATCTATAATATAAAATACTTGACAAAAATTATTAAAAACCGTTTTTATGCATTAAGTACTGCTTATTGATACATATTACTATTTAATTAATTAATCAATCTATATCTATAATATAAAATACTTGACAAAAATTATTAAAAACCGTTTTTATGCATTAAGTACTGCTTATTGATACATATTACTATTTAATTAATTAATCAATCTATATCTATAATATAAAATACTTGACAAAAATTATTAAAAACCGTTTTTATGCATTAAGTACTGCTTATTGATACATATTACTATTTAATTAATTAATCAATCTATATCTATAATATAAAATACTTGACAAAAATTATTAAAAACCGTTTTTATGCATTAAGTACTGCTTATTGATACATATTACTATTTAATTAATTAATCAATCTATATCTATAATATAAAATACTTGACAAAAATTATTAAAAACCGTTTTTATGCATTAAGTACTGCTTATTGATGCATATTACTTAAAATTCAAGATTACAAATACAATGTACGTACAAATTTTTTATTAAGTCCTGTATAGATAAATTTGTCTGTCCTAATAAATGAGTGTTGTTGTTTACTTTTATTATCTGAACCAACAGTCTGAATAACATAAATGACCGATTTACCCCATAATATTAATTATTTGAACATCAAAACAAAAAATATATAGAGCCGAAGATGGGGTGTCTCATATGGGAAGGAGACGGTGCTTTGAATAAGGGGTAGGAGTGTCATTTTTGTGGCTGAAGGGGAACAACACACCATTTCTATCTGTACGATTAAGCCATGTTCTATGCGAATAAGCCGTAAGTAAACAACCCAAATAAGCTGTGCAAATAAGTTAGATGGACTAATAAGCCTAATTAAGCCGCAAGTAAACAACATCTTATTAAAACTCCATGTTTGAATTCGTATAACTAATTGTAGATAAACATAATCAAATACCAAATAAATATCTTATTTTAAATATAAAAAATCTAAAATATATTTAGGATAATCATTGAATTATAAAATATTAATTATCATCTTTATAAAAAAATTATATTATTAAACCAAAAATAAATACTTTATTATTAAATCTAAATTAAATTATAATAAAATATTAAATTAAAAAAATTACATGAAAAAAAAAACTTTTAAATATTTAATTCAATACTAAACTCAATACAACTTTTTTCAAAATTTTATGATACTTTCAAATTTATATTTTATTCAAAAAATAAAAACATTATCGTTTTTTCAGTACCACATAAAATCGTATTATAAATATTTAAAAACTAATATTAAAATATTTAAAAATCGAGCAAGAAAACTTGACCTAAACAACTCAAATCGTCAATCAAGAACTATATATAATTACTCATCACCGGTGCTAAATCAACATGTCCATTTTCATTTTTGCAATCCCATGTCTATGGTGATCGTAAAATCGATTGTATTCCTAATCGTTATTATTACGAATTTATTTACGCTTTCGGTCTCTCAAAGGAGCAGAGAGATACCGTTCTCTAGTTGCAATGAAAACGCAAATTTCACTATAAACGGTGCATACCAAACAAATCTTGACGAAGCATTGTCATCCGTGATCACCCATGATCCCAACAACACATACGGCTTCTACAACCGGTCTGTTGGTAACACACCCAATCAAGTCAATGTGATCGCCCTATGTAGAGGTGACGTTGAACAAGACGAGTGCCAGAGGTGCATAACGAATTGTAGTTCAACGTTAAGAGCGTTATGCCCTAACCAAAAGGGTGCGATTTTCACATATGAGAGGTGTATGCTAAGATATTCTGATGAGACCATTCTTGGCAATAGAAACAGCTGGGAAGGATGGGACTTGGCACACCCTCAAAACGCATCAAACATGGTCCAATTCAATCAAAGGCTCGATCAGTTGTGGGAACAACTAAGAAGTGAAGCTTCGAGCGGTGGGTCTCTCCGTAAATATGCTTCCAACGAGGTAGATGGCCCGAGGTCGAGCAAGATTTTTGGGCTCATGCAATGTACACCGGATTTGTCTCTAACTGATTGTGATAATTGCTTGAGTGATGCAATCAACCGTATACACATTTGTTGTGATGGTAAACGTGGAGCACGAGTTGTATATCCTAGTTGCAATATTAGGTATGAACATTACCGCTTCTTTAATCCTACGGCGATTCTTGAACAACCACCATCGTCACCATTGCCACCATCGTCACCGCTGCCACCATCAGGTATATACGTTTGGCCAATAAGAAAATTGGAGTTTGAAACGACAGAAGAGCAGTAACATTACTATATTAGTATTAGTACAATTTCACTAATGTGCTTTTTCTCGGATGTGATTTTCAGGCAAGCGTAATAGCACGACGATTATGGTCGTTGTCGTCGTTGCAACCGTTAGTGTTCAGTTATTGGTGGTGGTCTTCTTTTGTGTCTTCATAAGAAGAAAAAGGAAGTTGCAACCAGAGAATTTGGGTGGGTTTGTTTGTTTCTTTTCTTTCATACTTCTTTACGACAACATTAGGGTTTTCGATCCACTAATATTTCGTGAGCACGATACCAGCTCACGAAGACGTAGGTGTCGATGATATTATGACAGCCGAATCGTTGCAATATAGCTTTGGTGTTATTAGAGGAGCAACGAATGACTTCTCGGAGAACAATAAGCTTGGACAAGGTGGATTTGGTTTTGTTTATAAGGTAAACGACACACTACACGAAAATTACTCTTTTCCAAGGAAATATTTATGCCGAAACCGGTTTCGGGATTAGGAAGATCGTTAATATATCTTGGAATAAAATCCGCAGGGTAAGTTACAAGATGGACAAGAAATAGCAGGGAAAAGGTTGTCAAAGGATTCAGGACAAGGCGAACTGGAATTCAAGAACGAGGTATTGTTACTTGCAAGGCTCCAGCATCGGAATTTGGTTCGTCTCCTAGGGTTTAGCCTAGAAGGGTCTGAACGGCTTTTGATGTATGAATTTGTACAAAATGCAAGTCTAGACCGCTTTATATTCGGTAAGTTGACTATTTTCGGAATTATACAATAGAAAAAATTACAATAAACGGGTATATACCTTGATCTTAAAAATACAGATCCAGTGAAGCGAGCAACTCTAGATTGGGAAACACGATACAAAATAATACGAGGTGTTGCAAGGGGACTTTTGTATCTACACGAGGATTCACGACTAAAAATAATTCATCGAGATATGAAAGCTGGTAATGTCTTATTGGATGCCGATATGAATGCTAAAATTGCAGATTTTGGTATGGCATGGTTGTTCACACCTGAAGAAACCCAAGGCAACACTAGTCGTATTGTTGGAACCTAGTAAGTCTCACGATCCGAAAGACGTCACTGAATTAAATGTTGCTTTCCTAGCATTAGACGTAAAATTTGTCTCTAAAAGACGGTAATCTAGATCACGATCTTTACTCCGTCTTTAGTTTTTGCCGTTACTAATCGGAAAATTTGTGTTGATTGAAAGATAATAATAATAATAATAATAATAAACGTTCATCTCGCACTAATTAATTAACACGTATTCTTATTATACCAGTGGATACATGGCACCAGAGTATGTAATGCATGGACAATTTTCAGTTAAGTCGGATGTCTTCAGTTTTGGTGTATTGGTACTCGAAATTGTAACGGGTCAAAAAAACCATAGTTTTCAAAATGGAATGATGACGGAAGATCTTCTCAGTCATGTAAGTGTTGACGTATGACTTCTTATATGTCTTTCTTTTCTCGAACATATATTCTTCATTTTTACGTTGGTTTCTTCCTTTTGAAATTCAATTGTTTTAGGCATGGAAAAGTTGGAGAGATGGAACGACTACAAGTTTAATTGATCCTACACTGAGCGACGGTTCTAATTCCTTACCTGATATAATCAGATGCATTCACATAGGTCTGTTATGTGTTCAAGAAGACGTTACAGAGAGACCAACTATGGCTTCCGTTGTTCTCATGCTTAGCAGCCTCTCTCTAACGCTCACGGTCCCTTTAGAACCTGCTTTTTTCGTGCGTACATTCATGAACTCCAAAAACCACTTTTCTGAAGAGTACACTTCAAGTACAAATGATTCTCGCCCTTTAGAAAGTAAGTTCGGATCTTCATTACGTTCTATAGCATCTTCACAACGATCTATAGCATCTACACAACGATCTGTAGCACATGATGTTTCTATGAACGACTTGTATCCCCAATAATAAAAATTTCTATTATGTATTATGATATTGTGGTATAATTTTGTAAAACTGTATTTATACTCTGATATATAGTTTCTGAGTATTGAATAATAAGATGTTTGAATCTTTTTTTATTAACCTGGATATCCAACCCACTATGCGAGTCGACTAATCACAGGACGACCGCCTGTTTTAGATAGTCCGGAGTTACCGCATTTGAACCTCCGTGGCCACAAGGGGATTTTTATTCCTCCTTAGATTTAGCTCAAACCAATCATGCATCACCCTTGTGGTTAAGATGTTTGAATCTTAGACTTGGTCTTACAAAGACGACCATGTAAATAACAGCTCGAATGCATACGACTTTCACCGAATTTTGTCCTCTATAAGCGATGTCTTGGTCATCATCATGTCAAAAGGAGTTCATAACTACTTTTGACTTTAATTTTAACGACGACTCATGGAACCTTTGCGACGGAAAAGCCCGTCAACAAAAGCTATTGAGCTTTTGCCTGTGACTTTCAAGACTTTTGACAACAATATTTTCCTCCAACAAAGATATTTAGGGTGCGTTTGGTTTGCAGGAATTGGAGGGATTTGGATTTGAAATCCATTCCAGTCCTGCGTTTGGTTTGTAGAAATGGACGGATTTAAAATCCCGGGATTCATTTAAAATCCCACCAACACTGGATTTGAGAAACCTTTGAAAATACACGGCATTTGAAATCCATTCCCGTGGGATTTCATTCTTGCCCGAATTCATCGCTGTCTCCTTCATCCTTCATTCTT